GGCTTTCATTATCACAGTCATTGTTCATGTATATATAAAGAAATGTCATTCATTCTTTAGTAGGAAGTTTTTAAAGAAAACAAATAGAACAGAGCAGTTTAAACTGATGCAAATTAAAAGCAAAGAAGATGAAGGAACATATTCACCACCACACATTATTGCAAGGAGAGAGCCGCTAATCTTTGACTCCATTATCGATGACAGTGATTATCACTAAAATACATTATAAATACATTAATTGTGTTATTAGTAAATTACCAGTAGTATACATACATGTAGTTTATATAGTCTTGTCATTTTTAGGGCATGCATGTAAATATGTCATTTTATGATCAACACTTTTAACTATTCATTGTACAATAATTTTTTGCACAAAATTTTAAAAATGTATAGATCTATTATTTTAGGAAGTCAAATAAAGTTGAATTAGTTGCTTTTATAAAAACATGCAACATCCTCACAATTATTGATTTTTATCTTCAGTTTGCTTTCTCTTTCTAGATTTACTACTACTACCTGAAATAAATATAAAAATTAAATGCATTTCAGCATAGGACTTATATACTTTCTTCATCCCAAAGAGCATTTTTTACAAATCTTTTGGCAGCTCCTTTATCCACTCTTGGTACTTCTAAATTAAATTATTAACAAAATTATACTCAAAAAATTTTTTAAGCAAATACTATCTTTTTCTTATAAAAATTTGTATAACCTCTTCAAAATTATTAAGTTTTACCTCCTTTTAGTCTTTCATTGATGGTGTTTGCCTGATGCATGTATTTTTGGACTCTTTCCTAAATAAAGGATAACTAGGTGAATGAATACCCTATTAGTACAAGCATATATCCTTTATTCCGAAAATGACTCCACCCCTAATTTCTATTAAATTTTCTGATACATATTGAATTTATGTCCTTATGCTATGTAGAATGTTTAAGCCGATTCCGACTTCAATTTTTCGAGTTACAGCCATTTAAAAAATATGCAGCTTTTTGAAAAATACCCAAGGCTATAGCCCATGGTTTTTTCCAAAAATGGCTCCAAAATCACCCCCAATTTTTACTACATTTTTTGATACATATTGATGTCCTTATGCTATGTAGAAAGTTTGAGTCGATTCCGATTTTAATTTTTTGAGTTATGGTCATTTTTTTAAATATGCCAA